GAATGGCGTAAACCCGGGAGGCGGAGCTTGCAGTGAGCTGAGATCTGGCCACTGCACTCCAGCCCCGGCGACAGAGCAAGACTCCATCTTAAAAAAAAAAAAAAGGTATAATCATTATACCAGCAAACTCCTCCCTCGGTGAGAGTTGCATAGCCACCCCAGCATCCTCCCCACCCCTTTTTCCCCAGATCCACCAGAAAAACAGGAACATCTAGTGGGGACACTCCTTTAGTCTCCTCATGTTAGTGAGCACACACTCGTGTACAGCAGCCCTTCGTAATTTTTATCTCCCTCTGTTTTAGACAACGAATGTTTTCATAGCCTGTGCCACTTCTATAACCACCTGATGGGTTCCTGCAGCACAAACAAAATCAGTTCATGGAGAACATGGCGTTACAGTCAAGAAAGAGTTTAATTGACACAAGGCTGGCCACACCACGTGGGAGTTGGTATTATTAGTCAGTCTCCTGGAAGGCTCAGAGATTAGAGGTCATTTAAATGTAATTTTGGGAAAGGGGTGGTGGCAGCTAGGCAATGGTGCTTGCTGCTGATTGGTTGGGGGTGCAACCTTAGGGATGTGGCAAATGGTCCTCCTGCAGGCTGAGTCACCTCTGAGGGGGGGCCCCCCCGCAGGAGTGGTTGGTGGGGTCCATGTGGAGTTGGTGGTGTCAGACATGCAAAAAACCTGAAAAGATATCTCCAAAGGCCAATCTTAGATTCTGCAGTAGTGATGTTATCTGCAGGAATAACTGGGGAAGTTGCCTAGCTTGTGACCTCTGGAATAATGGCTGGCAGTCTTCGCAGAATTCCGGCTTCTCTGTGCTCCTAGCCTGGTGGTCTCTCATTAGCTTTACAAAAGTGGCTGCGTTTTAGGGAAGGGCTATTTTCATTTAAACTATAAACTAAATGTCTCCCAAAGTTAGCTTGGCCCAACCCCGGGAATAATTAAGGGCAGCTTAGCAGCCAAAGGCAAGAGGGGAATTGGCTAGATCAGATCTCCCCCTCTCCCCTGCTGCCCTAATTCTCTCACTGATGCAATTTTTGCAAAGGACATCTTACTTCTCTATCAAACTATGACTCTGAGGAGATCTTTTTGCTCATTGTTGGACATTATGGGCTGTATAGTGTGTTCCTTGTTCTGAAGAAATAATGGTTGGCTTTCCAAATCTGTGCACCGTCTCTTGTTCTGCTTTTTCATTTTTTTTAAATTTAATTTTGCTTTTGTGAGCGTCTCACTCTGTCACCCAGGCTGGAGTGCAATGGTGCAATCATAGTTCACTGCAGCCTCGACCTTGCAGGCTCAAGTGATCCTCCTATCTCATCCTCCCAAGTAGTTGGGATTATAGGCATGCAGCACCATACCCGGCTAATTTTTATATTTTTAGTAGCGACAAGGTTGCCCTCAAACTCCTGAGCTCAAGTGATCTGCCCGGCTCAGCCTCCTCAAGTGCTGGGATTATAGGCATGAGCCACCGCGCCCGGCCTTGTTCTGATTGTTTTGAAGCATTTGTAGCTTCCAGCAGGTAAGCAAAGCCCAGTCCAGAGTCACTATCTGTTCCTATCAAGGAACAGAGTTCCGTGGTACTGCCCCAGGGCTACCAGCATGAGTCTCACTTGCCAGCTATGATCAGGACCTTCCACGATGTGATCTGCACCATAGCCACAGGCAGTCTCTGTCTCTTTTGCTGACAAACAGAACAGTTCTTCCTGGCACTATGTGCCTGAGAGGGTTCAAGAGGAACGTGTTCATTAAAAAAAGTCAAATGCGGCAAGGCGCGGTGGCTTAGGCCTGTAATCCCAGCACTTTGGGAGGCCAAGCTGGGTAGATTACCTGAGGTCAAGAGTTCGAAACCAGCCTGACCAACAGGGTGAAACCCTGTCTCTAGTAAAAAAAATTACAAAAATTTGGCCACTGGCCATTCCTCAAGAGAGGGAGCATGGGAGCAAGCAAGTGCAGCAACAGGATGGAACAAACCAGCCCATCGCTCCTCTCTGGCGGGAGCAGGCTCTGTGCAGAGCCCGCAGCAGCATCCAAGCCTGTGCCTCTCAGCACCCGGTTCTTTTCTGGCATCCAGGAAGAATCAGGTCACGCAAACAGATTGAAGGGTAGTGTATGCTGAGGATTTTATTGAGTGATAGCTCTTAGAGGGATGGGAGTTGGAAAGGGGATGGTATGGGAAGAAGGCGATCTTTCCCTGAAGTTGCACCGTGTGAAGTTAGCTGCTTCTGTCTGTAGCCTCTGACTCACAGTTGCTGCTTCTCTGCTCACTGCTCAGCAGCTTGTATCCCCGACCATCAGCCCCAGGGAGAGGCCCCATAAATATGGGGTCATATCTGTGATGGGACACCAGCCCTACCAGGCAGGCAACAGAGCAAGACTCTGTCTCAAAAAAAGTAAAAAAAAAAAAATGGCCCGGGTGCGGTGGCTCACGCCTGTAATCTCAGCACTTTGGGAGGCCAAAGCGGGTGGATCACGAGGTCAGGAGATCGAGACCATCCTGGCTACCATGGTGAAACCCTGTCTCTACTAAAAATACAAAAACATTAGCCGGGCATGGTGGCAGGCACCTGTAGTCTCAGCTACTCGGGAGGCTAAGGCAGGAGAATGGTGTGAACCCGGGAGGTGGAGCTTACAGTGAGCCGAGATCACACCACTGCACTCCAGCCTGGGTGACAGAGCGAGACTCCATCTCAAAATAAATAAATAAATAAATATAAAAATAAATAGTTGAAGGCAGCCAGATGTGGTGGTACGCACCTGTAGTCCCTTGGGAGACTGAGGCAAGGGGAATCACTTGAGTCCAGGAGTTTGAGGCTGCAGTGAGCTATGATCCCACCAGTGTACTCCAGCCTTGGTGACAGAGTGAGACCTTGTACAGGCACATGCCACATACACACATTTGGGTCAATGACAGAGCGCATATACACAGTGGCCGAAAAGATTATATGACACCATATTTTTTACTGTTGACTATTTTTTACCATTTTCTCTCCTATGTTTGCTTATGTTCAGATATACAGATACCATTGTGCTACAGTTGCCTCCAGTGTTCTGTACAGCCACACGTGGTGCAGGTTGATAGCCTGCGAACAATAGGCTCCACCATACAGCACCAGGGCTGCAGTAGGCTGTGCCATCTAGGTTTGTGTAAGTACACAGTGATGTTCACACAATGATGAAATCACCTAACTGCATTTCTGAGAACACATCTCTGTTATCGCTTGAATGCATGTCTACAATTGTAACAGAGATCATAGAGCCCACAAAGCTGAAAAATGTACTGTGTACTCATTTATAAACACCTGTTTTATGGGATTGGAAGGAATGGGTTACATAGAGATTGGAATGGAACAATACTTCTCCACATAGCTTTTTATTTTATTTTATTTTATTTTATTTATTTTATTTTATTTTAGACTGAGTCTCTCTCTGTTGCCCAGGCTGGAGTACAGTGGTGCAAGCTCAGCTCACTGCAACCTCTGCCTCCCAGGTTCAAGTGATTCTCATGCCTTAGCCTCCCAAGTAGCTGGGATCACAGGTGCTACCATCATGCCCAGCCTAATTTTGTATTTTTAGTAGAGATGGAATTTTGCCATGTTGGCCAGGCTGGTCTCAAACTCCTGATCTCAGGTGATCTGCCCACCTTGGCCTCCCAAAGTGATGGGATTACAGGCGTGAGCCGCCACCGTGCACGGACTTTTTATTTTTTTAGAGACAGAGCCTCCCTCTGTCATCCATGCTGGAGTTCTGTGATGCTCTGATAGCTCACTGCAGCCTCGAACTCCTGGGCTCCAGCTATCCTCCCACCTGAGCCGCCCGAGTAGCTGGTACTACATGTGTTTCTAGCCTGCCAAATTGTTTTCTTTTTTGTAAAGTCAGGCTGTTGCTTTGTTCTCAGGCTGGTCCTGAACTCCTGGCCTCAAGCAGTCCTCCCACCTTGGCCTCCCAAAGCACTGGGATTACAGGTGTGAGCCACCATTCTGGGCCACACATAGCTTTTTATTTTTTTTGTTTGTTTGTTTGAGACGGAGTTTCACTCTTGTTGCCCAGGCTGGAGTGCAATGGCACGATCTCGGCTCACTGAAACTTCTGCCTCCCGGGTTCAAGTGATTCTCCTGCCTCAGCCCCCCAAGTCGCTGGGATTACAGGCATGCGCCACCATGCCCGGCTAATTTTGTATTTTTAGTAGAGACGGGGTTTCTCCATGTTGGTCAGGCTAGTCTTGATCTCCCGGCCTCAGGTGATCCAGCTGCCTCAGCCTCCCAAAGTGCTGGGATTACAGGCATGAGCCACTGTGCCCGGCCGTGGTTTGTTTTTGTTTGTTTGTTTGTTTTTAATACATGAATGCATATTATATCAATTATTTATTTATTTTGAGACGGCATCTTGCTCTATCACCCAGGCTGGAGTGCAGTGGCACGATTTCGTCTCACTGCAACCTCCACCTCCTGGATTCAAGCAATTCTCCTGCTCCAGCCTCCTGAGTAACTGGGATTACAGGCGCATGCCACCAGCTAATTTTTGTATTTTTAGTAGAGATGGGGTTTCACCATGTTGGTCAGTCTGGTCTGAAACTCTTGACCTCATGATCCACCTGCCTTGGCCTCCCAAAGTGCTGGGATTATAGGCATGAGCCACCATGCCTGGCAAAAATTTTTTTTTTAATTTTAAAACACTGCCCACTGGAATTAGTCTTCAAGATCCTGTTGGTCTCATATATCTGCTAATCTCTGTTTTGCAGTCTATTTGATTTATCAGGAAACTTCAAAATCCATCTCAACTGTTTGGTTATAGGAGCCCATGATGCTGCCCAAACCTGGGACCTATTACCTCCCCTGGGAGGTCAGTGCAGGCCAAGTTCCTGATGGGGGCACACTGAGAACATTTGGCAGGTGAGAATGTTTTTTTTAATTTTTTTCAGTGGTGGGGGTGATGGTTAAATGTCTTTCTCTACCCCCCCCCAAAAAAAAAAGTTAGGGCTGGGCGCGGTGGCTCATGCCTGTAATCCCAGCACTTTGGGAGGCCGAGGTGGGTGAATCACCTGAGGTCGGGAGTTTGAGACCAGCCTGACCAACATGGAGAAACCGTGTCTCTACTAAAAATACAAAATTAGCCTGGCATGGTGGCGTGTGCCTGTAATCCCAGCTACTCGGGAGGCTGAGGCAGGAGAACTGCTTGAACTTGGGAGGTGGAGGTTGCAGCGAGCTGAGATTGTGCTATTGCACTCCAGCTTGGGCAACAAGAACAAAACTCCATCTCAAAAATAAAAAATAAAAATAAATATATATACACATATATATATACACGTGTGTGTGTGTGTGTGTATATATATATATACTGAAAAAATTAATATTCACTGTAAAAAGTGTAGATAGTCCATAAAGGTGTAGAGAGGAAGGAAAAGTCACCCATAATCCCATTGCCCAGACAACCACTGCTGACCTTTGGTGATTATCCTCATGTGCTCTTCCATGTGTATGTGTTTGTATATGTGGGTGGGTATAGAGACACCTGATATACATATATACGTATATACTTTGTCAGTTATTTATCAGTTATATATTGCTGTGTAACAAATTACCCACACACACAATTTTAGTTTTTCATAGAAACAGGGTCTCCCTATATTCTCAAGGCTGGTGGCAAACTCCTCGGCTCAAGTGATCCTCCTGACTCAGCCTTCCAAAGTGCTGTGCTCAGCCACTGTGCTCGGCCTCCCCCAAATTTAAAATAATTATTGTCTCATAGTTACTATGGGTCAGGAATTTGGGAGTAGTTTAACTGTTTGGATCTGGCTCAGGGTCGCTCATGGGAGTGGCATCCAGATGTTGGCCAGGGCTGCAGTTATCTGGAGGCTTGACTGGGGCCAGGACTTCTACTTCCAAGGTGGCTTGTTCACGTTTGGCAAAGTAGTGCTGGCTCTTGGCAAGATAACTCAGTTCCTGACAATGTGGATTTCTCTGTAGTTCTGTGTGAGGGTCCTCATAACACAGCAGTTTCTGCCAGAAGCAGTGACCAAGAGAAAGAGCAGGATGAAAACCACAATGTCTTTCATGACTTAGCTTCCAAAGTCAGTCTCCGTCATTTCTGCAGTATCCTACTGATTACACAGGTCAGCCTTACTCAGCATCGTAGAGGATGCACAAGGACGTAAATATTAGGGGGTGAGAATCACAGGGGACCATCTTAGAGACATGTGTACATACATAGAGAAGTATTTTAACCTAGGCCAGGTGTGGTGGCTCACGCCTGTAATCCCAGCACTTTGGGAGGCCAAAGCAGGCGGATCACCTGAGGTCAGGAGTTTGAGAACAGCCTGGCCAAAATGGCAGAACCCCGTCTCTACTAAAAATACAAAAATTAGCCGGGCTTGGTGGTGGGTGCCTATAATCCCAACTACTCAGGAGGCTGAGGCAGGAGAATCGCTTGAACCCAGGAGGTGGAGGTTGCACTGAGCTGGGGGACAGGGTGAGACTCTGTCTCGAAAAAAAAAAAAAGAGAAAGTAGTATTTTAACCTAGGCCAGGTGTGGTGGTTCATGTCTGTAATCCCAACACTTTGGGAGGCCAAAGTGGGTGGATCATCTGAGGTCAGAAGTTCAAAACCAGCCTGGCCAACATGCTGAAACCCCATCTCTACAAAAAATACCAAAATTAGCCAGGCGTGGTGGCAGGCGCCTGTAATCCCAGCTGTTTGGGAGGCTGAGGCAGGAGAATTGCTTGAACCCATGAGGCAGAGGTGGCAGTGAGCCAAGATCACGTTCCAGCTTGGGTGACAAGAGTGAAATTTGGTCTCAAAAAAAAAAAAAGTATTTTGACCTAGTTAAAGGCTGGGTGTGGAGGCTCACATCTGTGTTCCTAGCACTTTGAGAGGCTGAGGTGGGAGGATTGGTTGAGTCCAGGAGTTTGAGACAAGCCTGGGCAACATGGTGAAACCCTGTCTCTACAAAATATACAAAAAATTATCCAGGCACGGCAGTGTGCACCTGTAGCCTCAGCTACTGGGGAGGCTGAGGTGGGAGGATCACCTGAACCTGGGAGGTCTAGGCTGCAGTGAGCCAAGATTGCACCACTGCACTCCATCCTGGATGACAGAGTGAGATCCTGCCTCAAAAAAAAAAAAAAAAAAAAAAAAAAAAAAAAAAAAAAAAAAAAAAAAAAAAAAAAAAAAAAAAAAAAAAGAAAGAAAGAAAGGAAAAAAAAGATTTCTTAGACAAGACATAGAAAGCAAAAGTCATAAAAGAAAAAAAAGGTCGGGTGTGGTGGCTCATGCCTGTGTCTTGAGCCCCTGACCTCGTAATCCACCAGCCTCGGCCCTGCAAAGTGCTGGGATTACAGGCTCGAGCCATTGCAACCAGCCTACTTAGCCAATACTTTATTGATTTTCTTTTTTTCTTTTTTGAGACAGAGTCTTGCTCTGTTGCCCAGACTGGAGTGCAGTAGTATGATCTCAGCTCACTGCAGCCTCTGCCTCCCGGGCTCCAGTGATCCTCCTGTCTTGGCCTCCCAAGTATCTGGGACCACAGCTGCATGCTACCATGCTTGGCTAATTTTTTATATTTTTAGTAGAGACAGGGTTTCAACATGTTGCCCAGGTTGGTCTTGAACTCTTGGACTCAAGCGATCCACCTGCCTTGGCCTCCCAAAGTGCTGGGATTACCAGCACGAGCCACTACGCCCAGCTAGATATTAATATGGTAGGGGAAAACATCTTGATCTCTACTTCACAACATGCAAAAAAACATTTACACTATGTCATAGATTACAAGCTAAAACCGCACGGTCTCAAGAAAACCGGAAAATATCTTTACAACCTTGAGTAGGCAAAGTTTTTTTTTTTTTTTTTTATGTAAAGAGACCAAATCTATGACACGTTGGCCTTTTTTGTTGTTGTCGTTGTTGTTTTTTTTTTTTTTTTTTTTTAAATAGCGTTTATAGCCCATATTGAAAAAGAAAAGATAGCCAGGCACAATGGCTCATGAGTGTAATCCCAGTACTTTGGGAGGCTGAGGCAGGTGGATCGCTTGAGCCCAGGAGTTTGAGACCAGCGTGGACAACATAGCAAAACCTATCTGTACAAAAAGTTAAAAAATTAGCCAGGTGTAGGCCGGGCATGGTGGCTCATGCCTGTAATCCCAGCACTTTGGGAGGCCGAGGCGGGCGGATCATAAGGTCAGGAGATCGAGACCATCCTGGCTAACGTGGTGAAACCCCGTCTCTACTAAAAAAATACAAAATTAGCCTGGCATGGTGGCGTGTGCCTGTAATCCCAGCTACTCGGGAGGCTGAGGCAGGAGAACTGCTTGAACTTGGGAGGTGGTTTTTTTTTTTTTGAGAACGGAGTCTTGCTCTGTTGCCCAGAGGCTGGAGGCAGTGGGCCGAGACTCTCAGCTCACTGCAAAGCTCCGCCTCCTGGGTTCAGGCCATTTCCTGCCTCAGCCTCCCGAGTAGCTGGGATACAGGTGCGCGCCCGCCGCCTCACCCCGGCTAGGTTTTTGTATTTTTGTAGTAGAGACGGGTTCAGCCATTTGTAGCCCAGGATGGTCTCGGATCTCCTGCCTTGTGATCCGCCCATCTCGCGCTCCCCAAGAGTGCTGGGATACCAGGTTTGAGCCACCGCGCGGCGGCCCTTAATTTCTTAATGTTATATTTTGATAAGCAGAAGCTTTTAATTTGGTTGATGATCAGTTTATTCATTGTTTATTCTTTTTTTCTTTTTTTTTTTTATTTTTGAGATGGAGTCTCACGTCTTGTTGCCCCAGCTGGAGTTGCAGTCGTGCAACCTTGTCTCACCTCGCTACGCAACCTCCACCTCCCCGGGTTACAAGCATTTTGTGCCCTCAGCCCTTCTTGAGGTAGCTGGGGTTACAGGGCCTGACCACCAAGCCTGGTAATTTTATGGTAATTTCCAGTCAGGGGTTTGTACCATATATGCCCCAGGCTGTATCAACTCCTGCTATCTAGTGTCACTCCACTCTCCTAGCCTGCCAGAAGTTAACTGGATTCACACAGGGCATGAGCCACCAGCACCCGACCTTTTTTTTCTTTTATTACTTTTGCTTCTATTGTCTTGTCTAGAGAAATTCTATTTTTTCCTTTTCTTCTCGTTTTTTTTTTTTTTTTTTTTTTTTTTTCGTTTTTATGCCTTAATGTGTTGCTAATGTCTTCTGATAAGGCTATTCTTCTTTCTGTATTGTCGCCTCCTGGTTAGCTGGTTTGGTAATCTATATTTATTTTGTGTTACTTTGCACCTTATTTGTTTGTGTTTCGAATTTATTTTATTTGTGGTATGGTATTCCGGTTGTTTTTTGTTTTTTAGTGTCCCTGTAGTGTTAGTTTTCCTCACGTTATCTCTAGTGCCTCGCATCTCTTAGCTCTCCTGCGCTTTCATCCAGTTCTCCCTTCCAGCCCTCGCTAGTAGCCGTGGACTACAGGTGCCCACCACCGACGCCCGCTGAATTTTTTCTATATTTGGTTAGCAGAGATGGGCGTTTCACCACGTTCGCCCGAGGATTCGTTGGTCGATCTCCTGACCTATGATCCGCGCCGCCTCGCCTCCCAACAAGTGCTGCGATTACAGGCATGGAGCCACCGATGCAAAGACCGGTGACACCTGGCTAATTTTTTAAACTTTTTTGGTGACAGATAGGTTTTTGCTATGTTGTCCGACGCTGGTCCCAAACTCCTGGCTCAAGCGATCCACCTGCCCTCAGGCCTCCCAAAGTTACTCGGGGATTACACTCATTGAGCCATTGTGCCTGGCTGTCTTTTCTTTTTCAATATCGGGTTATAAACGCTATTTAAAAAAAAAAAAAAAAAAAAAAAAACTTTGCCTTGTACTCAAGGTTGTAAAGGATATTTTGCGTTTTTTTCTTTGGAGACCGGTGCCGTTTTAGCTTAATCTATGACATAAGTGTAAATTTTTTTTTTCGATGTTGTGAAGTTTAGAGACACAAGGATTTTTCCCCCTCCATATAACC